CAGTCACAGTCAGTTGCTACACTGTGACATGATTAAACTATTAGGTACCGTGTGTGAATCAACCTTTATGTTGTTAAATACAACAACCGATTTCTTCTCATCGATATTTTTTTATTGTTTGGACGCCTGACTGATGACAACATATGGAGGATGGTAAGGGTAAATAAGTAAAAGACTAAAGTTTCTAACATTTGCATTATTCAGTGTTCTATATCCTATCACACAGGTTTGTCTATTTACAATTGATCCTTGGTCCGAAGTCTGTGCCTCCAGGCTCGTATTCAGGGTTTGGCAGAGATTGGATCAGTTCTAGCATACGTCCTTATAGCTTGGTGGTCTGTGATATCCATGGCTCGACATACCCATGCAGGCACAACACATCATAATAGTGGTGTGAAATGTGTGAAAATAGTGTGAAATTTATGTGATGAAATACACACAAATTCACATCACAGTCACAGTCAGAACTTGTAAAAATACTATAGTGTAAAATTTGTATGACGAAGTATGCATAAATTCACATCACAGTCAATAGTTCAAACTTAATGTATTGTCATTTTATGGTCTTAAGAGCCCTTTTCGGGACACCAGGTCATAGTTAGCAAAACCAAGACGTTTGACAATCCTTTAATTGATAAAATTAATTGATAATGATTGTAGAAAGTCAATGCTCCCTACTTCTACTTTGACCACCTAAACTACCAACTACGATTAGCAAGATGTGGGATTGTGTGTTGTGCCATGCTAATATACCAAACACATATTAATCAGCACAAAGTACAATAACATATACTGTAATAGCAAGTTTTAATACTTTCACCCAGCATATTTATATCACACTTTGATGATTTATTCACTAATCTAAGTGTGTTAAATATTAAATGATCTCAAAGAGTTTTACTATAGAGTAAGCACACCTAGTGAAATCTACCATAAATTAAGATAAATACATTTGGAACCATTATTACACTCATGTTGCCAGGCATGAACTCACTAACTCATGTTAAAATGAGTTTCATATTTTAACAGTAAGATAGGAACACTAACTACAATATTCAGTGATTGGTTCTGGTTATTTGTAACTATTGTTTCTATATTAGATGAATCACTGCAATATACTAGTTCAACCTGACTGACCCCTCTCTATGAATTCCCTAATGACCATATTACCTCTGATGATGTTACTCTTGCTTTCTTGATATTTCTACCATAGAACTTTCACATTCTGATTCATCATTAGGCCTCTATGAAAATACCCACCTCTATATTTACACCCTCAGGTATACAGCACAATATCAACTTCCTTTGTTACTGAATTCTGTAATTTAGCATGGTCTCATTGTTTTTACGTATATGAAATACAGAAATTATGTTCATACAGTAATATAGACCTATATGTAAAATAAACAACAAAATGGCTTATTTTATAATTTATATGTTTTTGAAAATGAGTAAAGAACAACAGAGCTTGTAAGGTACAATACCAATGAGGGATGACAATGCATTACGTTGTATTGGTTTTCCAGGTTATTGTTTAACAAGAAACTCCTTCTCACATCAATTGCTCAACAAATAAAATCTTTTTCCATCACTATCGATGGTCATCGTTTTATCACTTTAACTAAATCAGTATATCTCAACATAAATAGCATCCCCATTATGATTAATTACTGTAAACACAATGAATATCTAAGAAAATACCCAAAACAATCCCAATAATTATAGCAAATTTCATTGTGCACTAAAATGTGATTGTTTGTAGCTACCCTTCACAATCACTTTCTCTTCTTTGCATAAAGTAGTTTTCATCTTTATTTTGTCTTTTCATTGAAGAGTACATTCACTACAAGAGTCTTATGTATACAAACAATTATTTATGTACGATTTTCCAAGTAAAGGTTGTTCCAGCCGGAAAGTATAAAACACAGTCGGGGCCTTTAGAGTTTGCATTTTCATCTATTTTTTTTATTACAGTCTGAGGCTCTAACTAAATATCCAATTTTGATTGTAGAAAGTCAATGCTCCCTACTTCTACTTTGACCACTTAAACTACTAACTACGATTAGCAAGGTGTGTTATTGTGTGTTGTGCCAAACACATATTAATCCACACAAAGTACAATAACACATAATAATACTGTTCAGTGGATCTCTGCTGATACTAGTGATAGGGGTTGAGCTCATCACAACCCAAACTTTCAATCAAAGAGGCATCGCATCCGACATTAACTTTAAGTCCTAAACTGAATATTATATTTTGCTTACATTCAGAGAGACAAACTGAATACCATCTAGCATCTTAGGAATGAGCTGGTCACAACTAAAAAGAGAACCCAGTCTTTGCACCACACATAAACTGTACACAATTCACCACTTGGGACAAGAAGCAAGCCTGCAATGATACTGTGGAGCAGGACTGAGTTTAAATAGCAATTCCTAGTCCTCACATAAGGTAAAAATATAATTTCGGCACGAAATATTTGCCTGATTCCTCGGTAATACATGTTTCAAGACGCTAAAATAGTTGAGTAAAAAACATATTTTTTCAATTTTTCACAAATATTTAATCCAAACTAGAAAAAATCCAATATTTTACCAGAGGTCCCAACACTATGTGTTTCTTGCCATTTAAGGTGATTCCAGCAACACATTATATTTATAAATATTTCAAACCAACTGGTACAAATCTCACATGATACAAAAATTAATGGGGATTGGAAATATTTTTAGAGATGGACATTTGCATAGAAATGTATAAATAAGCACGATTTTTAAAAAGTGGCTTAAAATCTCCCCATGTTATTCTCATAGGTAAAACACCAAAAACACCTCTTTATCCTATTCTATCTATTTGCTTGAGATACAGTAAATAAACATATTTAGGCACACTACATTGATTTCAACTTTTGATATAAAACAATAATACAGGGTAAAAATTTAAAAATCTAAAACTTATATGAGTACCATTTGGTAAATAAATTAAATGGTTCCATTTGTATGACAATGTAGCCTATTATAACATAATATCAGTGTTGGTAATGGTTACAAACTCCATGCATTACTGGTGTGACTTTATCGTTTTAAAATGCTTATTTCTCAAAAACTGCTTGAGATACGACAAATGGTTAAATTTAGGTACACTATGTTAGTTCCAACTTTTAAACAACAAAAAACAATAATACAACATAAAAATCAAATACTATTTTAACATTATTTTAAATGAGTACAAATAAATCAAACAGTTATCATGAAAATGTTATAAGTCTATACTTAATTCCATTATTTTAAAAGTCCATTATTAAATATTCTAAATTTGTGATTTAATCACCAGACATCCCTATAACTCAAAAGAATTATATTATTTTATATGAGTACAAATAAATCAAACCATTTTCATTTGTATGCCAATGCATTGTAATATAATAATAGCATTAGTAAATAAAGGTCTGATTTATTGTTTAAAAATACTTATATCTAAAAAAAAGGCTTGATATACAACAAAACAGCTAAAATTCCAGCAACCAAAATAGCCTTCAACATAATAATACAGCATAAAAATTTAAACAATTTAAAACCATTTACCAGTTTCTTTTGTATGTAAATGTGTTATAATATAATTTCAACAATAGCAATAGTTTCAAACTCTAGGTATTACCAGCACGGCACTGTCGGGGGCATGACGATGTTCAAAGTGATGCGCCTCCTATCACTTACATGTTTGTCTAGCTTCAAAAAAAAATATTTATAGCATAAAATTTATATATTAAAATTCTACATAAACTACTGTTTAATACAATATAAATATAATTTAATTTATGCCACTGTATAATTATTAATTAAGGAAAATATAAAAAGGTTACTCAAAGCAAACATTAAAAAGTAAGTAAGCGAGGATTTTTTTTATTTTTCGGTCAGAGAAAAACTTTCAGTGGAAGAAGTATAGATGATTAGATGTTCCTCAATTTTTGTTTCTAACATTTTTTCATAAGACTTTTAGTTTGTCATCGCTGGGGATCAGAAGTAACCTATGGGTCAGGAGCGCGTCCGAGTTCACGTGCCGAGAGCTGGGTTTTAAAAAAAGTGGTCAAAAAAAGCTCTTCATTTCCAGGCTTGTTTTTTCAGTATTAATAACATTTTTTGGTTAAAAAATGCCCCCATATAGCCTCTAAAACGCCAAAAATAGGGTAAAACCATCATATTTTACCTATTTTGGGTGTTTTTTCACCAAAAAATTTTAAAAGTACTAGGTCCAAAAATGCCGAAAGTGGGGTCATATTCTGGGTTTACCACTACTTTGGTTCACGTAAATTAATTGTCCACTTGCAGGATCCAAAACAATGGTATATTTGTCAAATGGACCGGACCAATCCAAAACGATGGTCCATTATTTGTCAACTGGACCATTGTTTTGGATCCTGCAAGTGGACAATTCATTTTCGTGAACCAAATGTACCATTGAGTTTCGATACTGCAAATGGGCATTTTATTTATGCCCGAGTTTATGCGAATCGGTAAAAAATCAGTTTCCACAACTGCAAAAAAAACGCACTTCCTGAAATGTGAAACTGTACAAAGAGTGGTTTTAGAAAAGTATTGGATTAATATGCTAGCTCCGCTCAATAATGTAAATAGACAACTAAACTGCATTGTACACCTAGTTTCGATACCTATATTCTTGAAATTATGTATATAAAACATTTCGAAATTACCTCTTCCTCTTTGTATTAAACATTAGAGTCAATTTTCCACTATCCTCCTAGCAGACAATTTTATTTCGAAGTCTGCTCTAGTCTGCAGTCGCAATCGCCGAGAACCGGTTTCATTCAAATCAAAGTGAAAGCATTTCAACAAAACAGCTGGTTCTATGAAAAGAGCGGTTTTAAACAAAGAAAGAACGAAGAAGACAGTGTCTGCGCTGCGCGTCCCAACCAAACCCAAAAAACTACATACTACAACTACTTGCTACTACTTTTTGTAGTTTGAGCGCGTCCGTCCGTCCGTGTCCGGGCTCGTCCTCTCTTCTCCCATCCCATCCGGCATCCATCCTCGTTCGTGGCCGTGGCCGTGTACGTGCAGTGCTTTCTGTGAGTGAAATCGTGCGTGCATTGCATTCCCAATTGCGAGTCGCGAGTCGCGACTCTGTAGTCTCTACTGTGGAGGCACAGACTTTATAATACTTTAATGGTTTCTGTTGTCTGTGGTAGAGGTAGACCGAAGAGCCGAAATGTGGTAAATAAATAATTAATAAAATAAAATGCAGGGCAGGAGCGAGGAGCGCAGGACGCAGCAACCCAGCATTCAGCAAGGCTATATTTAATTTCGGTTCATTGAAAGTTTGCGGAAGCTAGTTACATCCACTTTTATATTTGTTTAACGAGTGCAAGTTGAAAGTTAAGTGACACGGAAATGGAGGAGAAATACGGGAATAAGATTCATTTGAATCTAGGTGAGTTGCCTCAAGTAGAAAGTTGACCTAGGCCCTAAATTAATATACTAGCGTCTCTTGGTCCTGGTCAAAAACCGATGAGAATCTGCGAAGAAGTAAAGGGTTGTGGAAGAGCCCCTCACGCCGACCTAAGAAACATTATAAAATTAATTATATAATTTTTTAGTTGCAGTAGCCTACCATTTAACCCTCCAAGTGTCTCTAGTTTTATACCTATATCATTTTGTATGGAAAATTATGGGCTTCAATGTAACAATCGGCACTAGGCTATCTTTGTAAAATTTTGTTTTAGAAACAAGTGTTAACAACAAAATGTTACAAACATTTTGTTCCAAACCCCAGTGTAAACGCGGCTTTAAGCAAAATGTTGATATCCAACTCCATTAAGTTATAGGCCTAATTATCGTAGGCATACAATCAATCAATCAATCGTTGAGATGGGGACGCCACCTAGGTGCGTATTTTAACCCAAATATGAGTGAAGTATGAGTGTAGAATGGTGTGTGATGACCTGTGTAGCTTTGTTACCGACTAAGATCAGCGGTTTCATTAGTCAGGATCATTTATTTAAAGCCCAATGATCAGGAACAGCTGGGCCCAGTTTCGAACCATCAAAAAGCTACTGACTTTTCTCAGGATCGAACCGGCGACCTTTTGATTGCTAGGCGAGCACTATAACCACTCAGCTACCCAGCAAGTTTAGTTAGGGTAGCCTAAGTTAATAGCTATTGATCAAATTAATAAGTTAGTTATGGTACTTTAATGTGTCTATAATATGATGGAGGCGGATGTAAAATATTCTCTAATACTAAGTAGTATTCATAGCAGTGAAGGCCAGTTGAGCGGAGCGATCATGTTTCATGGTTTTTAATAAAGCAATACCGTAAATGAAAAATGTTTACCTATAGCCTAGATATAAGTTAATACAAAGTACAAATGTTCCCACACTCCGCACTGCTAGCCTTTACAAATTCCTTCACCACTTCCTACGTCGTGGAGCTGTTTCCCTTCCCATAGCATTTTTTTTAGGATTGCCGATACATTGATCTAACTGCCACAAATGGTTCCCACATACCACACTGCTCGCTTTTACTACTGCCTTCACCACTTCCTACGTCGTGGACCTGTTTCTTTCCCTTCCCAAAGCAATTTATAGGATTGCAGTTACATTAATCTAACTGCCTCAGACGGTTCCCACATTTCGGACTGCTCGCATCTACTTACTTCCTTCACCACTTCCTACGTCGTGGACCTCTTTCCTTACCTTTCCATAGCATTTTAGGATTGCAGATACATTATTAACTGCCATAGATGGTTTGCAACCTCCGCACTACCAGCCTATACTACTTCCTTCACCACTTCCAACGTGTGGACCTGTTACCCTCCTTTCTCATAGCATTTAAGTATTACCGGCTCATTAATCTAACTGCCACCAATGGTTCCCACACCCCACACTGCTTGCCTATATTACTTATTCCTTCATCACTTCCCACATCAAGGACCTGCTTATTCCCTCGCTTCCCATAGGTAGCATTTTAGTATTGCAGATAGGCCTACATTTATGTAGCCACAAACGGTTCTCACACTCCGGACTGTTCGCCTTTAGTTCTTCCTTCACAACTTCCTTTGTCGTGGACTTGTTTTCTGTTATGTTAGGGTATGTGATTTCTCTTGTACTGTCAAATATTTCATCAGCTGTTTTATTTTTTAAGACTGTTTTGTGTAGCCTATGTAATGTTTACAGTTTAGTGTTAAATACTCTCATTTAAAATGTAGCAGATTTCTAAGTTGAATAAAACCATATAAATTTGGTTTCTAAACAGTTCTTTTCACAGGCTAACAATTTTCACAGGCCTCGCAATATTCAATTCATTACAGAAATGTAGTAAAATACTTGGCAAGTAAAATGTAGTAAGCCTACCTAGCAGATGCATTTTCACAAGTTTCATCTTCCATCTCTTAGCTTTTAGCCGTTTACCTTGATCTTGCAATAATCTTGCAAGTAGAAGTTGAACTATCTTACACTTTTAACCCTTCCCAGACAGCCATAATATAATATGCTACAGACAACAAAATAAAAAAAATAATAAAAAAATACAAATTATCTTTTTTACATCTGTAATTTGAATAGAATGTTCTAAATAGTTGATCTATGCAACACTTTAGACCAAAATACTTTTTTTTAACTTTATTTTGTTTTTCTTAAAAGTTATTTTTGGTGAACATTTTTTATTCCTCTAGAAAAACATTCCTAGTACATTGGTTAAAGATATATAATTGAATAAAAGACCGTTTTTACTAGGATTAATGTTGTTATATATAATAAACTGTAACAATAGATGTCGTAATAATCGGTGGATATATCCGCCTACCGTCCACAAATCCAAAATAGATAGGCGGATATATGCCTCTACCGTTCACTATGCACAAAATGATAGCGGATATATCCGCCTACCGTACGCTCTGCACAAAATTATAGCGGATATATCCACCTACAATCCGCTATGCATAAAACGATAGCGGATATATCCACCTAAAGTCCGGGAAGGGTTAATGATCCATCCGTCACTTTAGTTTTCAAAGGGCTAATAATGTTTTTTTCAGTTCCCAAAAAAGAACCAAGTGATGACTCTCATGTCCCAGACAGTGGACTCCTGAGGAGTTTGCTAAAAAAGGAGGAATCTCCCAGCGACGAAGATGACAGGTAATTTCACAAAGTCACTTTATTTTTTAGCAAATTTCCATAATTATAGAGAAGAAGCTATTACTGTAGATTTCACGATGTGTCCTGGACACGGGACCGATATACTTTTTCATTTTGATGTCCCTGGAGGTCAAAAGCACCATTCGCTCAAATTTTTGTGTAGCCTATGTATATATACAGGGTGATTACAAATGTAATAGACAAACTGTATATTAAATTAAATACAAACTGTCTATTTAATCTGTAATCAATCTGTACATATATATACGTGCGTGAACAGGGCCGCGCCGAGGGTAATAGACACCCCAGGGGGCGAGATTTAAATTTTCGTGTCCTTCCCAAAAAAAGGTAGGCCTATTTGGGGGTTTTGAATCAATAGACCCAACGTCCGATATATCAATATCGAACGTTCGGAAAATATTTATTACTAGCTGGCCCGACAGACGTCGTCCTTTCCTAATGTGGTTTTATGTCAATGCTCGTAAATTTTCAAGATGAGCTCGTTCGCATGGCTCAATCACGTCCAGGTTGAAGTTCGTTCGCTACGCTTACTCACCAAAAGGTCTATTACCACGGCAGGTTGGAAAAATGAATTTAAAACAATGTCTATATAATACAATATTTTATTTTAGCTACAGAAATGTAACAATGGGTTGGAAAATAGTTCAAACTAAAAAACTGAAGTTATTAAAGCATTTTACATTACCGTACCTATTACAAAGGTATTACCTATATTTTAGCCCCGTATTATCTTATGGTACCATTTAGGTTAACCCGAATTTCGTTAACCGGGGTTCTTCTGTATTAGCTTATATTTTTTTGTCAATATCTGGTACTGGTATGGTCGTCATTTCAAAGTAAAGTGTATTAAACTATTGTTACTTGGTAGCACTGACTGTTGTTGGGAAATATTGAATTTAGTTCCTACATCTTTGAAGGCAAGCAATTTGCTACCAAACTAGTCAAACCTTTCGTAAAACTTGACTCGCTCAACTCAAAAATTAAACTAAACTTATTCTTAACTTAATTTAAGTTCATATTATTTTTTACTACAGGAACTCTTGTGCGGAGAGGACCAATGATGCAAATCAACTAAAGTTACACGTAAGTAATAGATGTAACTTCTAATATAAAATAAAGTACGATAGACTCCCTCTTATCTGGACACCTTTTAACCCTCCGAGTGTCCATAGTTTAGGCCTTAATGTCCGCCTATTTTTGGCGCATTTGCAAGGTTTTATTAAAACGGATCTGAGAAGCTTAAAACAATGTTAATTCTACTGTTCTATATACCATTTTGTTTGGAAAATCATGGGCTTCAATATCATACATAAAACATAAAGAATATTTGTTTAAAAAAATTTTTTTGGTAAAAATAAAAACTATTTTGGAATAATTGAAAAAAAAAAAAAAAAGTTTGCGCTCAATAAAATTGTATAAATTATAGGCCTATAAATATTTGAAAATAGCCACTTTGTTCTAAATTTTATGAGGATTACAAATATATAATAATATAAGGAAGTAGATTTGCAAATAAATAAGTTATGGGCAAAAAACAAATTTCAGTACATAGCGTTTAGCTAAGAATGCATAGCCTAACCATAGCTAGGAATCTGGCTGATAATTTACATCAATATCACTACCCTACTTCTTCAGGATCATCAACCAGCCCTTCAAAATCACTTAAATCTTCTTATAATGCACCACGTATATCACTACTTTTGATTTTTAACACTAAAACAATGATAAATGTAATAAAACATCAGTCATCGGTCCGAGGTTAACCAAGCTGTTTACAAATACGCACGTCAGCTGTCTGCTACAATATTTTTGGAACTAAAATGAATAGCGCTTAGAAACAGACCTCTGGAGAAAGCTTAGAATCTAACAAAAAGAACGATACCTAACTCGATCCAGTTCAATCCGATTCAGTCAGTCATAGAGCCTTCGCCGTAAACGATGTTCGTGTGTCGAAAAATCGACAAGTGATACTACACAAAGTGTGTCGTGAGTCGATTTTCGACAAGTGACGCTTAGAGGGTTAACCGGACATCGGTTTAACCGGGCTACACTCGACGGAAATGACATCTCTTTAACCGGACAATTTTGATCAGCACATTGGTTTAACCAGACTAGATCGACAGGAAGTGGGCGGTACTGTAACGACTGTTCTCATGGGAAAGATTTGAGACCAGTGATCACATGTCTAAATACAATGCTCTCCTAAATTTAAGTCGAAATCATCGTAAACGGTCCATTTTAATGAGTTTTTGGGGACGTCGGCTTAACTGGAAAAACCGTTATCCGGACTGGCCTTGGTCCCGAGGAGTCCGGATTAGAGGGAGTCTACTGTAGTTAGTTGTTCATGGATCAAGACTTAATTTATTTAGAGTTTTTGCTGTCTGTGTCTAACATCAAGGCTTATTTTATGCCTGGCTGCAGTTGCTGCTTGTCTGGCTGCTGACTGATTTGGTCATACGGCAGTGACATAGTCCCCTTAAAACTCACACGTGAGGTTGGTGAGGGAGGGGGGGGGGTTTGGGGATGAAAAGCTCATTGTTGAGGTTTGTCTTCTAGTAAAGATGGCAATTAATATTTAATGGCTGTAGTTTTACTAATTGAAATTTGGACCCTATCATATTAAAAAAATGGTTAACTAAATGTGTAAAATTGATGTGAAAACGTTGTTGGCCTACTCATTTTCTAAATAAGTTCATATTTAAGGAAGGGAGAGGTGTTTCTCGTGTTATTTGTTGAGTTAAAAGAACAAAATGAGCTTTTCAACTACTTTTGTTTGTCACGCACGTGTTGAAACTAACTTGGAGCAAAATAAGAACACCTGTAAAAGGTATTCCAATTTAGCTGACAGGCTGTCAGCTATAATAAACTGAATTTATAAATTATAAACTGTTGTTTATAAGGAAATAACTGCATTGTGATTTAGGTAAGGAAGTTAAACAATTATTCATTTGGGTGAAAAAATCTGCAAAATTTGTGATTTTCACAACAATTTACAAATTATGAATGTGGCAGGGGCAACAATATTTGTGATCTATGATAAAGACACGTTTGTAAATACAAGGGTGAATGTATACAGGGTGGCTGAAAAGTAACTTGCACCCCCTCCTTAACTTTTGAACCTTTTGAGATATTTGAAATCTGTTTGCGGCAACCTGTTTAGATATGAGGGGCTGCAATAATGATGGTTAATTAAAAAAAAATTGCCCTTAGGTAGTAGGGGTTGGGGTTAGCTTAAAATTTTCAAACAGGAAGTATGGTCAAGTTTGGTTTCATTTTACAGGTCTTGACAAAACTAAACAATTATCATAAAGAAAATAGAAATCAAACCATTAATAACAAAATGACAGCTAAAAATGATTATTATCATGATTATTATGATTATTATATGGAAGACAATGGTTATTAAAAGTAATTTTGAACTGCCATTTTGCTTTTACAGGGTGTCTACCAGTCGGGAATTCCGGGAAATTCGGGAAAAAGTCGGGGATTTTGAAAGGTCGGGAAAAGTCGTGAAAAAGTCATGAATTTCGGCCGAAAGTCGGGAATAATCTAACCTTTCAAAATTAGGGATGAACGGGTCATACACATACACTGAGACATTGCTTAGCCATACAGGTCATTACCATCCAAGTACATGCCATACACTGAGACATTGCTTAGCCATACAAGTTATTACCATCCAAGTACATGGTATACACTGAGACATTGCTTAGCCATACAAGTTAATACCATCCAAGTACATGGCATACACGGAGACATTGCTTAGCCATACAAGTTATTACCATCCAAGTACATGGCATACACGGAGACATTGCTTAGCCATACAAGTTATTACCATCCAAGTACATGGCATACACTGAGACATTGCTTAGCCATACAAGTTATTACCATCCAAGTACATGGCATACACTGAGACATTGCTTAGCCATACAAGTTATTACCATCCAAGTACATGGCATACACCGAGACATTGCTTAGCCATACAAGTTATTACCATCCAAGTACATGGTATACACTGAGACATTGCTTAGCCATACAAGTTATTACCATCCAAGTACATGGCATACACGGAGACATTGCTTAGCCATACAAGTTAATACCATCCAAGTACATGGCATACACGGAGACATTGCTTAGCCATACAAGTTATTACCATCCAAGTACATGGCATACACCGAGACATTGCTTAGCCATACAAGTTATTACCATCCAAGTACATGGCATACACCGAGACATTGCTTAGCCATACAAGTTATTACCATCCAAGTACATGGTATACACTGAGACATTGCTTAGCCATACAGGTTATTGCCATCCAAGTACATGGCATACACTGAGACATTGCTTAGCCATACAGGTTATTGCCATTCAAGTACATGGCATACACTGAGACATTGCTTAGCCATACAGGTTATTGCCATCCAAGTACATAGCATACACTGAGACACTGCTTAGCCATACAGGTTATTGCCATTCAAGTACATGGCATACACTGAGACATTGCTTGACCATACAGGTTATTGCCATCCAAGTACATGGCATACACTGAGACATTGCTTCGCCATACAAGAAGTTATGTATACCTTGTAGTTCTGATTCTATCCTCTTATTTTATCAATGTAAACCAATTGAAAGATTCAGTATTTAAATCTTACAAAGGTTTTTATTTGTTTACACCCAAACATATCTTTATTTATAAAATGAATAAAATAAAATAGGTAACATACTTAACAACATGATGCTGCAAGTAAAAATTATGAAATAGGCAAGAAGCTCACTGATATTTCCAGAAATACTGGTTCTTCTAATGTATGATTGAAAACAGGAATATTTCACTCCACTGAGAAGTATGAATAGAAAAATTCCATGTTGCTTCTAATCGAGTTATATCAAATTTTTTTTAAAAATCGAATCGTTGCTTTGAGTTGAAATGTTTTGCTGCTTCACACACCCCTACATTTAATACGGGATTTTCTTGGCATGTGATACGTTTCGATCGTCAGTGATTTCGCTGGGTCATAAGTGACAACATATGTTGACGAAGGTACCGTGACCGCGAGACGGAAAAAGGTGTAGTAACATGGAGAATGGACCGAGTTTTTGGTCGGGATTTATATAAAAATGGTAATGAAAAGTCGGGAAAAAGTCGGGAATTCCATTTGAGAAATCTGGTAGACACCCTGTTTTAGTGGTCCAATTTCTGTTTTTTTTATGTTGATTGTTTAGTTTTCTCAAGTCCTGTAAAATGATACCAAACTCGACCATACTACTTGTTATTTGAAAATTTGAGCTACCCCCTACTCACGCTACCCCTAAGGGCAAACTTTTCAAAATTGACCATAATTATTGTAGCCCCTCATATCTAAGAAGGATGCCACAAACAGATTTCAAATATCTCAAATGGTTGAAAAGTTAAGCCCTCTTAACTTTTCAACCCCCCCGGTGCAAGTTACTTTCCCTGTTTAGTATTTAGTAGTTTATGTTTGTCCGTTTTAGCGAATTTCCCTATAGGGAAGTAGCTATTACCGTAGGTCTCATGGTAAGACTTAGGCCCGGGACCGATTTACTTTTTCATTTTAATGTCCCCAGAGGCCAAAAACACCATTCGTTCAAATTTTTATATATGTATATATATATCCTACTAATATTATCCTACTAATAATATTATAAATAAGAAAGTTTGGATGTATGGATGTATGGATGTATGGATGTATGTTTGTGACAAGTGAACGCGAAAAATACTGGTCGGATTGGGCTGAAATTTGGCATGATGATAGCTCACATTCCCGATTAACATATAGGCATATTCTTATTTCAAAAATCCTTTCGGGCTCCGCCCCAGTGGCTCTGGAGTTTCCCATGTCAACCTTATGAGAAATGGAATTATTAAATCTTAACAGCTGTTTCAACTAAACAAGTTGGTTCTGTTCTATGATGTTCAATATCATTAAAGTTACAAGGATTACCAACAGGGTGCAGCACTATTATTTCTTTTACATTTATGACAACAGCTAATTTGCAACCAAAAGGTGTGTGAGCGTAGCGAACGAACTTCAACCTGGAGGCGAGTTAGCGTAGCGAAC